TTTTACAAACGGAGGGTTGTGTTGGAATCGAGGCACGTGGGATCACTTCTGCTGCTGATTTCTGATGATGATTTCGCGTCGGATCGGATCGAGGATGCAGTTTTTGATTTCTTTATTATTATTATTTGTTGTTGGTGTTTTTTACAGGGTTTTTTAATCGTTTAATTTGGGTTTGTTTTGATCTGAGAACGAGGGGTTTGTTGCTGTTTCTTGAGGGTTGGAGAACCATGGGAATATTTGAGGTTTGGAGGACGACCGCCGCCAAACGGCCGACCGCCGCCCTCTCACTCGTTCTCTTCCTCTAACTCTCTCCGCGATCAAGGCGACAGAAATAGGTGAGTATACCCAACTCAAAAATAAGCTCGTTGGCAATGAATAGAAGAAGAAATTTCATCTTTTGTTTTATTTTGTTTTCTCTTTGTTTTTGTTTTCGGTTTATATTGCAATGGGAAAAATAAACTGCAGACGTATTGGGCTTAATTGTTTGCAGCTCTGGCCCAAGGTTGTGATCCGCAAATGGCTCAATATCAGCACCAAAGACTCTGATTTTAGTGCTAATGAAGGGGATACCACTGAGAGCGATTATGAATTTGAAGGTTTGATTCCAAAGATATTATGTTTTTTGAATTTAGTTGATGGGTTTTTCTTCTCTTAGTTCTATTTGTTTGTTTTCAGTACCTTTAGTGGCTTTTAATTGGATTTGTGTGCAATTATGCTAATGGGAATATTGATGGCAAATGGAATTATTGTATTTTCTGTTAAATTTTTAGCAGAGATGTGCCGATGGGAGAGGCAATTGTGTGAGGAAGACAGGAGATAGGGCTTGGAGCTGAATCATATGGTAATTTCTTAAAGACACTTAGTTTTTTTTTGTGATTGAAATTATTGGGTTGCTTGTAAATCCAATTGATGTCTGAAATTTATTATGGTGAGTACAAAGTTTGGGGTTTGCATTGCAATACGAATAAACACAGCACTAGATCTCATTGGTGTGAACTTGAAATAGAATCAATTAGCATCTTTTTCATGTTATATCCCCCAATGGGGCTTGTGATTATTTGATTAAGCCTGTACGCATTGAAGAGCTAAAGAATATATGGCAGCATGTCATCAGAAAAAAGCAGAATGAAACTGAGTATTCAGGCAGCATGGATGACACACATCGTAATAGGCGAGTTTCAGATGATGCTGAGTATGCTTCCTCAGTGCATGATGGAGCAGATGTATCTTGGAGGTCTAACAAAAAGAAAAGGGATACCAAAGAAGATGAAAATAGTGGTGAATTGGACCATGAGGATTCTTCATCATCAAAGAAGCCTCGTGTCGTGTGGTCAGTGGAACTCCACCAGCAATTTGTTAGTGCTGTCAGCCAACTTGGGATTGAAAGTATGAATTTATCTTCTTTCATGAGCGGGAGTGTAGTTGTTTTTCTTGTAAATAAATCTTTTGAAGTTTGAAACTCTTTGTTTCAATATTGTTTAATTATTAATCAATGCAGAGGCTGTGCCAAAGAGAATTCTGGAACTGATGAATGTTCCTGGATTAACTAGGGAAAACGTTGCAAGCCATTTGCAGGTATTATATTCTGAGTTAATTTTGGTTCTGTTGATAACATGTACTTATCTTTTTTATATATTTTGGGTACTTGTTGTATGTGAATTCTCTATATGATTATGTTCAAAGTATCATCTGTTTTTAATCAACTTGTATGAATAGTTTGTCCGAATGCACGTCTGGAAAACTTGATTCCTTTTCCAAACAAGATTTGAGACTTGTGAATTTGTGTTCATTTTCTACCTAAAGAACTAGCTGAGATTCATTCAATTAAAAAAATATTATTTATGATAGTGATTGCTGGCCTGTAGATAGTATTGATGATGTTAAGGACAAATAGATAAGTAATTGTTCAATATGTATTTTTTTGCCATTTTTTTGAAGCTCTGATGGAAATGAAGCACTTAAATGCACATGCCGGAAGCCTATCATCCACTTGCATGCAAAATATGTAAATTGTTTTGTTTAATCACAACCTTACTTACAAACAATTCTCAGCAAGCATTGCTGGTGAGCATGCGAACCTTGGAGGGGTGAACTTGAACAACACTCAAAAAGGTAACATGATGGTGCAGGAGTTACAGAAGCAGCATGCAAATTTTGTGGTCTCAGACCCACATCATGTTATTAACGTACAACCATCGTGTATGATTGCTCCCTCTCGATCACCAACTTGTTTAAATGTTGGACAGACCTCTTTACCTCTGAATCCAAGTTCCATAACCGTTCCATCTCAATTGTCAAACAGCTGTCAGTCTGGGAATAGTTTTGTCGCCATCAAATCAAGTTCCGGCTTCAACAGTAGTAACATAGCTCTTGATTACGGACTGCTATCAAACAGTGATCCAT